TACATGTGTTAATGAACAGCATATATATATGTATACACACACACACATATACACACATATATATAATATAGGTACAAAATGTGTGTATGTACAAGAGTATGTGTGCGTGCCTGTGAATCAGTGGAAGAGAGGCTGGTGGATGTATAGGCACATATATTCAGAATCAAAGAAATTTTTATTCAGGCATAAATAAATTTCACATTCAAAAATAGAATACAAAATGAATTTTGGATTTCAAAAACACTGAGTTAAGAAATAAGAGTTAAGGGGCTGGGACTGTGGGTCAGCGGCAGAGCGCTCGTTTAGCATGGGCGGGACCCGGGTTCGATCCTCAGGCATTGTGTTGTGTCCATCTACACCTAAAAAATAAATTTTTTTTAAAAAAGAAATAAGAGTTAAATACAAAAAGAATGCTTTTGGGAACATCTTGATTTTTGAATTGACAAGGGCTTATTTTTGGATATTGCTTGAAACCTATAATAAGCTGCTCCCAGAGATGAGTGTACTCACTGGCGACAAAGTGTTCCCACTTAGGCTTTTTAACAGCAGAGTCGTTTTAAGAGTAGTCATACTAGAGGCCCATGCTTCATGTTAATAGCTAATGCTACAAATGTTTCATAACCAAGCAAGTAAAACCAAGACCTGAAAGAAAATCTTCAGGTTTAATTTGTTACCGCTTTGATGAAAACAGAAATGTGTATTGATTGCAACTTAAAATGAAAGGATGAGAAAATGGAAATGATTGTGTCTTTTCCTCATTCCTCATGATCTATAAGGTATTTCCCAAACATTGCCACAAAAATGTCCTCAATGGGAGTAAGAACTTGTATTTATCACCAGAAGGGACAAAAGATGACCCGCAAGCATTGTCCCATGATGGCTCAGGGATAGCTACTGGTTTGACATCTCCCGTCTTAGCTTTCAATTTCATTGTTTTTTTAAAATTCATTTGAAAGTGACAATCTGCTTATTTTATTTCATTTTAAAGATGATATTCTAAGTTACTGAAGTAAAAGCAACTTTGTAAAGATGTTTCATCTTCAACCTGGTATCCTCCCAGCCTGGTGCAGCCATGGGTCCACAGGCATGTGTTTGAGAGGCAGAAGGCTATGGCTGGCCGAGAAGGTGCGTCCTCAAGGTGGCCATGCACCTGTTTAGCACACAGAGCACCTTCTTTATAGTCGCAGAGGGGTGGCATTTAGCTGTCGAGAGGAGCAGTCAGGTTTGGAGAAAGGACTACTGAGAGGTGAGTGACTGTGTGGGTCCTGCCTGGTCAGTGGTGGCATAGACAGGTGGCACAGACAGGTGAGGGGCATAGATGGAATGAAGAGGAGGGCGGACTTTTCTTTAGGGAGGCAGTACTGCATCAAGTCCTTGGACGATTATTAGGACTGTGATCAGCAAAGGCATCATAGAAGAGACATAAGAAGAGGAAGGTGGCTTGTGACTGATGCACATTTAGCTGAAATAAACCAGAACAGAGCACTGTGGGGCGGAGGAGAGCGAGGGATGAAGGAAGAGGCAGCCTTAAGTGCCAGGGTGCTGAGTTGGTGTTTTGTTTTGTTTTTGTAATGGAGATTCATTTAAGGGTTCCGAGCTTGGGAGGTGATATATGAAAGCCACATTTTAGCAGTTGATCTGACAGCAGTGTGTCAGCTAAGTTGTAAGGGGGAAGAGTGCCAGTAGCGTGGCTAATTAAGGTACTACTGCACAAGTCCAGGCATCTTTTAATGGGGACTCGGTCCAGAGGACAAGTGTCTACAGAGGAGTGTCCACAGGAAATGCAAAAGAAAAAAAAAAGGAAAAGGAAAGAAAAGAAAAATTTTATACAAGACAAATAAAACAACAAACCCAAAGCATTTTGCATTGGGGTAATTCTATCATCCACAGAAGTTCTGCTTTAAGAAGTTTTCCGTGATATTGTTTTCTTCCTCGAGCACTTGACTGTATCATTGAATCTTAAAACCTCCACACAATAGCTGTCCATCTTAATCCAAGCCAGCTTAGAATGGGTTTTGATAAGATGAGGCTTACTCATAGGACTCACCCTGAAACCATTTTTGGAACAAAGCAGGGAATAAATAAAATTGCTCACAGGACATGATGAAGGAGCAGCTGAGAGAATAAGACCTGAGCGGGAGACGGATTTGTACTTGGTTTTGTGATTTCAGTTAATTATGAAGGCAGGGGTCGGAGGAGAGGTTCTTATATTAATGAACTCATTTGTGTTCAAGAAATGATTTCGACCCAACTACTTTCTCCTCTTCTGGGAAGAACCAGGGGCACTGAAGTATAGAACTAGCTGCACAAAGACAGGAAATGGAGCAAGTTCTGAAAATGGCCCTTGTTGTTTTCACTGACTTGCAAAGGAATTCCCTGGGACAATACGTGAGGTGTGTCTTTCCTCTGAGCCGCCATGCTGTCCCCTCAGAGGATGAACTGGTGCCGTCTGATGTTATGAACTCCCTTCTTGGGCGGGAAGGACTGAAACTGGCACCATCCTGAGCTCATTGGTGACGAGGCCATCCTTAGTAGAATATTCTTTTGCCCTGGCCCATGGCACCCACTTGTGTATCTGACAGGGTAGCTGATGGAGCCCTGCTTGATAGGACCAAGGGCAAGAGCCTAGGAACACTGCATCCCGCCCAGAATGGCCTTGGTTAATCAATACCACCAGGAGGGAGGGAGGAGAAAAGAAAAAAGGGAAAGGGAAACCACTTTATGATCAGAAATCAACATGGTCTTCGCACTCACCAGCTCTAGGAGGAGAGCTCAGCCCCTGGAGTCGGGTTCAGACCAGTTGATACTTAAGAAGGAGAAGCCACTCCTGGGCAAGTGGGGCACTACCTCTTTGCTCCATAGATGTTGGTATCTGCAAATGTTCCTCTACCAATTCCATCAATGCATCTGTTGTACCGAGAGTTCCAACATGTCAAGAGCTGAGTCCTGTGGAGAACTCTTTTATAATGAAAAACAACCCCCCATCTCAAAAGGAGGCTTCTTTGGGGGAGGGTACAAGATATTGAACTCAGGGGCACTCGACCACTGAGCCACATCCCCAGCCCTCCTTTGTATTTTATTTAGAGACAGGGTCTCACTGAGTTGCTTAGCACCTTGCTGCCTGGCTTTGAACCTGTGGTCCTCCTGTCTCAGCCTCCCATGCTGCTGGGATTACAGACATGTGCCACTGCGTCCTGCCAAAAAGAGGTTCTGAGCTGGTTTCCTTTAAGTTATTTTTTAATAGCCAGATATGTGCTTATTTCTTAGCCTTTTCAAACAATGAGCTTTTGAAATGATTTTTGTTTTCTAATTCATTAATTTGAAATTGATATTTATTAAAGTTTTTCCTTCTACTTTTTACAGTTTTTTAAAAATTGCTTCCCCCTCCCCCCACTTGGGTTGTACGCATCACTTATTTTCATTATTCCTCGTTTAATTATAAAAGCATTTGAAGCCAGGCACAGTGGCGCACACCTGTAATCTAGTGGCTTGGGAGTCTGAGACAGGAGGACTGCCAGTTCAATGTCAACCTCAGCAAGAGCCAAGCACTAAGCAGCTCAGTGAGACCCTGTCTCTAAATAAACTACAAAATAGGGCTGGGGATGTGGCTCAGTGGTTGAGTGTCCCAAGTGCAATCCCTGGAACCAAAAATAAATGAATAAATAAATAAAAGCATTTAAAACTATAACATCTCCTTCCAATATAACTTTGTTAGCCTCCTGTAAATTTTAATAAATAATGTCATGGCTGTATTTTCTACAAAATAGGCAATCATTGTATTCGTGTCTATTTTTACTCAATAAATAGTTTTGGTTACACAAGCTTTGGTTTCCAAGCATATTTTTTTTTCTTTAAAAATATGACAGATTTCAAAATTTATTTGTTTTTGCCTTGGGTCACATTGTTTGTATAAGCTTTACTTTGGAGAATTTACTGAAAACTTATTCGTAGAGAAAAACAGAAAATATTTCATAAGTATTTTCTCTGAGGGGTATAAATTTTGATAGATAAAAAATAAATGTTGCTTATTAATGCTCATTCTATTCTATCTTTGTGTATCACTTTATCTGCATGGAAAGAAGGTATTTTTTTCTTAGAAAGTTGTTTATCTACCCCTAGGCTCCCCATTTTATCAATTTCTCTGTATTTCTAGTATCTCATATTATGTGGTTTAAAGTTATTGCAATCAAAATGAGGTCTGCATTATAACATGTTGTTAATAGATTCTGTTAGTATGAATTTGGATGATACAGTAGACTCACCCAATAGGATTGATAAGCAAGGTTTTCTTTCTTTTTAAGGGTCCAACTTTCTTCGGAGAACATGCTTACTGGAATCATGCGAGACCTGTCCTCTCTGTCGTTGAGGCTCAGGAAACCCACTTTATCGTTTGGGCTCCGAGGTCATCTGGTGGTTCCTCTGTAGGTCTAAATAGCACGCAGGTGCCACCTTCTTGATGGGGAAATTCATTTTGGTATCAGCACAGCGTCACTTGATTGGCAGCCGTTAGTCCTGTGAACTGAGCTCCCCCCTGCAGTCCCTCCCCTGCCCTCCCCTCCTCCTCCCAATGATGTCCCCTTGTTCCTTTCGTTCCTTTCTGGTCTTTCCATGGATTATAGAAGACGTATCCCTTGACTCCCCCAAACATAGCTGTTAGCATCCCTGTCCTTCCTTCTACCTCCTGTCCCATCCTTTCCTTATGTTAATCATACTTTGACTTTTTTTTTTTTTTTGCAAAAAAGAACAATAGGGAGTATCAGTGTTTCGTGCATAGTAAATGCTCACTAAAGGTTTGTGGTTGGTGGTGTTTTGTTATTACCAACAGGGCTGCGAAAATGCTCCGCAGGGCACTGTAAGGGCGGAGTGATATGATCCTGCATTTGTCCAGCCCCACAGCATGAGGATCATCAAAGAGGAGCTGTGATGTGGCCCGTGGACTTTGAATTGTCATAAACGCAGCACTCTGGTGCGCTACGTTGATAACCGTGTTGGCTGTGCACGTGTGAGGGCAGGAGCATTCAGGAAGCCTCTGTGCCTTCCTTTCAGTTGTAGCCAAGAACTCTGTCCCTAGAGCCATGTCCTCCTGACTTGGACCTGCCTGTCACTCTCTGTGTAAGTTATGTAACCTCCTTGAGCTTTTCCTGTCTGTAAAGTGGGAATGGGCTGCTTCTAATTTCAGCCTCTGGGACACAGTAATTGCTCATTAAATGTTGTTCTTTTGAAGATCATCATCAACACATTTCAAGGTACATTATATTTATTTTCTATTTTGTAATATAATTTGACCTTCTGTGCTATCATTATCAGTAGATTGATTCTAATCGTTGAAACCTCTTGTTTTAATCACTCTTGTGATATCACCATAGGTGGCACTCCCCTCCCCGTGACCTGCCCCCCAGACCCTCTAGGTCCTGCCTCCCCCTCTCCCTCTCTGGGCTCCCCGGCTCTCCTGCTCCTGGCTGGGTGGACCTTCCCGGCTCCACACCTTCTTTCCCTCTGCCTATCCCCTATCTTTGCCGAAGCAATTTCTCAACTAAAATGTGTTCGGGGGGGGCACATTTTCTGAGTTTTTGCTTGTTTGAGTTTTGGGGGATCTTCTCTCACATTGAATTGAGAGTGTGGCCTAGTTGGAGTTCTGGGTTGTGAGTTACTTTCCAGGGACATCTAAACACTCTGATTCTGTATTTCTCGGTGCCTGGTTGGTTTTCCGGAGATTTCTTTTTCTCTCTTGTTACCTTTCACAGGTACAGCCAGGAGTCCCCCCAAGTATTTCAATTTGAAGACGTATTTCCTTTTTAGGTCCTGGACAGTTTCCTTCTGTTATTCCCCCTCCATGTTCCTTTTCTGAGACTTTGGTGGAAGCTTGAGCCCTCTGAGTGGACCCTCCCCATTGTCTCCCGAGTCTTCCAGCTCTGTCCCCGACACCTCTTCTGGGGCCTTTCTCGCCCTCTATTGACCTGAGTGTCTGAGCCATCATCCTGTCCTAGTCTCCAAAAGCATCCTCTGATGTCTCTCCTCTCCTCTCCACAACACCCTGTTACAAAAGCCACCTGCAATCTCTCCAAGGATGCCGACTAGAGTTCTTGATTTTTTTAAATAGCTCTGCACAGGTTCTCTCTTTTGACGTTGCAGGCTTCTCTCAGATGTTGACGTCTTGGGTTGTGGTTCATTTTTAGGATGAGGGAATTGAACAGTCGGCCGCCCTGGGGACTGTTTTCCTTAACCCGCAGCTTCTCCTCGAGCTGAGCCACCAGGGAATGAATGGGTCCTCGAGCTGCAGCCTCTCAAGGCCATGATTTCCCCTGTAAGGTGACAGTGCTCTTGCTAATTGACCTTGATCTTCCCTTTTCGTGACTTTCTTTGGAAGATTATTTATTTATTTTTGCCCCCATTCAGCTTCTGCGAGGGAAGAGGGGAGGCGGAGAGGGCGCCTGCCTTCTGTGCCCTTCAGCCAGGCCCCGGCCTCAGGTCCCGGCCTCACTCCCCGCCTCCCGTGCTGTCCAGTTAACCCCTGCCATCGCCCCTGTGCCTTTGTACGCGTGTGCCGTGGCCACTCTGCTCCGTGGCACCTGTCCATCAGGGGTTTTATTTCTTCATTTTCGTGGCTCTTTCTCTGTGGTGGATCGGATCAGCTCTTTGAAAATTCACATCATATTCAATATTCATTCCTTGAGTTCAGATCATCTATTGATTTCGCAATGTTTGTATAGAATTTTTTTTTTTTTTGTACCTAGCGGTGCTTTTCCACCGAGCTACATCCCCAGCCCTTTTATTTTATAATTTGAGACAAGATCTTGCTAAGTGGCTGAAGCTGGTCTCTGACTTTTAATCCTCCTGCCTTGGCCTCCTGGTGTGGGTCACCGGTCCAGCTTACATAGAGAGCTTTTGATATTTCCACTGCAGCATTTTCCTTGAGCACGAAGATTCCGAAACACGTCTGACTTCAAGGTGCTCTTTCTCTGCCTTTGGTAGAACAATGGGATTTTGTGGTTTTCCATTTACAAATCCTAGATTTGGGGTTCCTTGGGGAGCTGGTCTAACCTCCCACGGAATCCTTCCACGGCAGCTCTGTCCTCATTATTTCTCTGGTCCCTGCCTTCTCGGGAAGTGCTGTAGCCATGATCGTCTCACAGTCCACAGAGCTGGGATCTCTGTGGGCTGGCAGTTGGAATTAGTTCCAAACCCCCTGAGTGTCCCAGAACAGAACTCTTCTCAGCGGATGCCTGGCATGATATTGGTATCAGACAAACGTCCTGTCTTCAAGAGATTGTTTAATTTCCTGGCAGGTGGCTCTCGGGTCTTTGGGCTCTATGGGCTTTCTGGTTCTTGATTTGGTGAGGCTGGGCAAGTGAGATGTGTTGGAGTTACTTTTGGGTTGAAGGCTTCGGTGTGATGTGGAGGATTCAGTGCCTGAAGATGGAGGCCCAGAATCTGCAGCTCACAGCTTTACAAAATGGGACTTCTGTTGAGAGCCACAGCCGAAGGGGCCCCAGCAAACTTCCAGCTGCCAGCTGATGATTGGCTCACAGCGGCCCCAGCAAACTTCTAGCTGCCAACTGATTGGCTCCTCTGGGGACCCAGCCAATCGGCCTCAAGAGCAGGAGGAGTGGGGGGGTGGGGGTGGGGGTGGAGAGGCTTGTGGGAAGCCAGTGGTGGCAGTTGGGCTCTGAGGGTTTTTTCCTGAGGAGCTGTGTGGTGTGGCGTGTGTGTTCTAAAAATAAAGTTTGTTTCTTTTGACAAGTGGCTCCTGAATTGTGCCCAGCCAGACTGCCGCAGACTTCCTTTTAACAAACAGGGGCCGAGACATTGATGTTTTGAAAGAGGGAGAATGGTAGCCCTTATGAAGAAACAGTGGTGTGCACAAAGAACCGTCACTGTCAAGGAGCAATGCAACAGCCACCAATGGCTAACCATGAAGGCACATTCTAGAAACCCCAGTCAAGGCTGGCAGCACCTTAAAAGAGAACCCAGACCGTCCCTTGGCATTCTTTCCAGTGTCCATGGAATTCTCCCATAATGGGTACACGTACCAGGCAAGAATAGGGATCTCACGAGATCTTTTACAAGTAATATGTCATCTCAATAACTCATGCTTGCTGAGCACAGGGGTGCACGCCTGTAGTCCCAGGTGCTTGGGAGGCTGAGGCAGGAGGATGGTGAGTTCAACGCCAGCCTCAGCAACAGCGAGGCACTAAGCAACTCAGTGAGACCCTGTCTCTAAATAAAATACAAAATAGGGCTGGGATGTGGCTCAGTTGTCAAGTGCCCCTGAGTTCAATCTCCGGTACCAAAAAACAAAACAAAACAAAAACCACTCCTGCTTGCCTCAGAACCCTATTTCCCCCCCATAGTACTGGTACTAATACTGTTACCGCTGTTGGCCGGTGAGGAGTCCTTGCTTCCCCGATGTTGAAGAATAACACCAGAGAAGCACGCCGAGGCAAGGTCAGAGTGGAAATTAGAAGTTTATTAAAGGACAGCAGAAAAGACTTCTCCCGAAGGAAGAAGGGGACCCAAGAGGTGGAATCCGTTGAAGGGCGAATGTGTTCCCCTTTTTATAGTTTTTGGTGATGGAATGTAGGTGGGAAGGGTTGGGACACAGGTGGGCCAAAGAAGTAATCTGGGCATTTCCTAGTCCAGTTTGCTGTTCATTAACATTTCTCTGGGATGGGCTATCTCCAAATCTGTTGGGGGCTGTTTCCTGGGCTTCATTAACATTCCGAGAGAGTTGCTCAGCTTTTCGTGAAATTCATTGTCAGCACGCCCTCCATTTTAGATCTCACTGGATATTAGACCCGATTGACCTAACTACACTGACTGCCTAATTTTAAATCTGGCTTCATTACTGCTACTAAGGGATAATATTTGGATGTCCACTGTGGACTTTGGCGTTGTCATTTAAAACAATATTGATCTCCATTGCAAGGTATACATTATCATTTTTTATGAGACAACTGAATCTCCCAAAGTTCTGATAACTTGATGGCAAGTACGGGGCCCAGATTGGAACCTGGGTTGAGGTCTGTGGAGGCAGATATCACAGCTGCCTTTTTCAGCTGGTAATGTGCATAATAGATGTTTAATAAATATTTGAGTGAATGAATGATGTTCATATTTGAATGCTATCCACTATCTTCTTTTTATTATTTCATGTTAGGATTAGTTAAGGATTTGGGCTGTGGCCTTCCTGGTTCTGTATAGCAGATATTCCAAAGGGGTCTGAGAGTTGGGGGATATTAGGTGAACTGGTCATTTTTAGTGAGCTGGAGGTCCTTGTACTAGTGGGCACTTGGCTATATAGGCTGGCGTAAAGTTATGTAAAGTAATGGCAGACCTATGGAGGTAAACTGTATTTGGTTAAGGGTGTTATCCTTTCATTTAACAGGTTTAATAAAGGAATCTTGAACACAGGAAGTAGAGTTCGAAGGGGGTCTATGTGAGGTCCACAGGAAGTCTGTCTATATTAAAAATGCATGCAAAGTTGTATTCTGTATGTATTTTATTTTTTCTGGGGAGAAGGTCCATAATTTTTAGGAAGCTATAACACTAAAAAGATTAACCGTGTTCCACAGGAAAACTTATTTACATTCTGGTTCATAACTATTTCTATGTAAAGTTGGAATTAGAAGTATGCTTTTTGATGGTTAATAAAGGGACAGATTTCATTCTTTCCTAAAAATAATGGATTTAAATGTGTTTTCAGGTGCAGTTAACATGTCTGAGCTGAGTCCTGGGACATTTATCTCTTACTAAAAAGCCCAAGTCACTCATTGCACGGAAACCCAAAGAGAATATTAATTAATTTCCAGTTTACTTGGAGGCAAAATGGAAATAAGTGGTCTCTCTGACCGCCCAACCTGCCAGCTGCCCTGAATGCCTTTTCTTGTTTGTTCATGTTTTGGATCCAAACCAGGTAAATCAGAGTCTTCTAGAGGTTTTCTCTGAACACGTTTGGTAAGCATTTACCTGCCTCTGAAAATCTTCCCAGACCTGCCTGCCCAATTATGGCAATCAAAGCCCGAGGCTGCTACCAGTTTGCCTCTGCTTTGATCTGTGCCATGTATAACAGTGTGTTTTTTGGCTTCTCTAAAGCAGCATGCCAATTAGATCCAAATGTGTCAGAGAGACTCAGAAAAAGTCCCAGTGGCCAAGTTTTCAGTAGTGGCTACTACTGACCGAGGCCTCTTGCATTCCATTCATTTAGAAATGGAAACCTACTCTCCTCTTTCATCCTGGGCTGGGGCTTTGAGGTAAATGAGAGGAGAAATTCCCCAACACAATCATATCTCTTCTCATCTCAATTTTTGTTTTTTTTTTCACATAGGAGAGACTCTGAGTGTTAGGAGGTTGGATTCTCTGGTTCCAGCTGGGACTTGTGCTTGGGTAGAGAAGGAAGAAAGAAAAGAACAGAAAGCCCCATTTATGGAAAACAGTTCTGTACCTGCCACTGGAACAGGGGTCCCTCACCTTCTGAATATAGCCCCCATTGCTCTAAGGCTTATTTAAAGAAAAAAAAAACTGTTTTTTTCTCCCTTATCCCCCTCACCCTCCCTAACAAGATTAGGGAGACAGTGTTATTTTTTTCTTCCCCTAGTTAATTGCTCTGGAACACACCCACCATAGGAAGGAGATGCCTGCTGAGGATCTGAAAGTGAATACCTCCCAAATTAACAAGTGAATCCTAACACACCACCAGGGTGCCCTGGGGCCCCCTACCAGAGCACACCTGCAACGTAAACCTGGAAGACTTCCTTTAAACCCCGCCCCCTGACCCTCCAGATGGGGAGAGTCACAGTCACAGTCCCCTGTGTTTCAATAAACCTTCTTTTTCCATTTTCTCAAAATCCGTGTCCTCATTATTAAATTGGCATTGATTGGCATTGGGGACAGGGACCGAGCTTTTGGTTACACAACTGTGTTAGATGTTTTTACTGCTTCTGTAGCGTGCTCACTGTAAGTGTGTGAATGCTAGCAGGCTCTGTGGGCTCCAATAGTCTGTGCTGTTTGTAGGGCACTGAACAATAAAGTTAGTGACTATAGTGTTAATTCCTCCGGTGCCATCAGGGAGTCAGGGAAACCTTGAGTGCACAATGGGAATGGACCTGAATACATCGCAATCTATTCACACTAGAAGCTTACCTGAGAGTCACCAGAGGAAAACGACAGGGGACCTCATTTCTAGATGTCAATCTTTGCATTAATATTCAGAAATGGGCTTGTTTTAAAATCTTACTCCTGGGCTCTGGTTTCTTGAAATTGAGCTGTGCTCTGGGAAGTAACCTGCATGGGGGAAGGGATTGAGAAAAGAAGAGAAACAAACCTCACCTCTTTGTTCCAGGCACAGTGTCTGCCCTTGGATTGTCATTGACACCAGTGGGGGTGGGGGGTGGGGTTTGCCCATCTTTCAAAGAGGATCTGGACAATGATTCTTGGGGACAATGATTCATTGGTACCCACTTGTGGTACCAATGAATTCTAGAAATTCACAATGCATTTATTTGAATTTACATTTGATTTTGTTCTTTCTACCCGTGCCTATTTTCGAAGGATGTACTTTGATATTTGGATGGCTTTACACCAAAGTCAGTGGAGCCCGCTGGAGCCCCACCCTTCAGAGAAGGGAGGTTTATTCTTACCAGAACTTTCAGCTGTAGTGTGCATGGCTTAGAGCAGAGGTTGGCACACCTTTTCTTAAATGTTAAATAATGAATATTTTAGGCCTTTTTGGGCCACATGGTCTCTGTGGAACCTACTCTGCTTTGCTGTGTCCTATGAAAGCAGACCCAGGCAATGTGTAAATGAATGGGTGTGGTTTTAGTTCCAATAAAACTTTATTTTATTGAGGGCCAGATTTGATTTGGCCTGTGAGTGTGCAGCTTGACATACCCTAGCCTAGAGATGTGCTGTGTTTTTCCATGTGTATGACACCTATAGCCAAGCACATAGTAGGTGTTCAGTATGTTTACAAAATTTTTGTTGTTGTTGTTTTAGTTGTAGATGGGCACAATACCTTCGTTTTATTTATTAATCTTTATGTGGTACTAAGGATCGAACCCAGTGCCTTACACATTGGAGACAAGTGCTCTGCTACTGAGCTACAACCCCACCCCCTTCAGTATGTTTTTAAATGACTGAATGCATATCTACAGTAATAGCAAAGCACTTCCAGAATATTACAAAACAACAACAACAACAACAACAACAAACTATGTTATAAATGAAGAATCAAGTTGGAATAGACTCAATTTATACATAGAAGAAAGTGAAAAACTTGGGCCCCAAGAAGTCACAGGCAGATTTCTACGTAGAATTCAAACTTACTGATTCTATTCCATGCTGTGTTTACTAAGCTTCCTTGGTTTAAATGACTTTATCACTTATTCTAGGGGAAGCCGCTTCTTTCAAAGACAATGATATCAATATATCTTGTGCCAGATAAGGTTCTCTGGCTGGATACAGTGCACATGCTCCTGGTGGGAGACTCAAGGAGGAGGATTACAAGTTCAAGGCCAGCATCAGCAATTTAGTAAGACACTATCTTAAAATAAAGCAAAAAAGGGACGTGGTGGAGCACTTGCCTAGCATATGGGAGACCTTGGGTTCAATCTCTAGTATCAAAAAAAAAAAAAAGCAGATAAGGTTCTCTGTTGCATCAGAAAACCAATTCAAACAATATAGGAAATTTGTTAACTGATGAGAAAAAGGAAAAGTCTAGCTGTAGAGTAGGCTTCACTTAAAGTGACAGAGGACCCAGTTACTCTTGTTCTCTCTGCCACTTGAATACCTTGCTGGAGGACCTTGAAGGTTTTCTGGCTTGGGGATGGTGGAGTACGGAAAATGAACTCTTCTTCAAACTGAGGCTGACATTGACTGATGGGAGAACCGAGCAGAGATGAGAATGGCGAGGGTTGGGGAGTTAGGTCCATGGTCCCGCACCTGCTGAGCATGTGTGAGCCCTGGATTCTGTCTCCAGTGCTACACATGCACAGAAATTGGACTGAGTCTTTCTCAACCTCTCTCCGTGGAGATGAGGAAGCAGGATGAAATTAGCAAGTCAAATGAAGATTTGGTAGTTCTGAAAACCCAGAACAAACAAGAGGGTAGGCTCAGTCTAGGGAGAGCAGCGCCTTGGAGGTGTGCCAGGGTCTGGCATTTCCGCTTGGGAGGGGTTGAGCACTCAGGTAGAGAAGGACCAAGTCCTGAGGTCACTCAAGGGAGTCAGCTGTGAGCTCTGGGAGGAATGATGTATGGCGGGAAAATTTTGATCAAGGAGGTGATGATATCAGAAGTAAATATCAGAAAAATTTTGCCGAATGCTTTAGGGGGAGGAGATTGGGGGAGGTAATGAACCTGATCCAATAGTAAAGACCTGAGAGCGGTGGGAGGGGAGGAGAAGGGAAGGAGTAGAGGAGCCCTTGAGTGGAGTAAACCCGGACGTGGAGAGAAGCCAGGCAGCCAGGAGGACTGAGGGCTTCAGCAGCACGTTCGTCCCTCAGCCTGATGGACACACAGACAGACCCCTGAGTTTGCTTCTGAGCCATATACATGGAGTCTGCTGCTGAATCTTCTGCACTTTTCAAGATGCGTGGATGAGGAAAAGACAAATAGAAGTGACAGTCCCCAGACAGTGTCCCAGTTGCTCAAGTCAGGGTGGAGTCTATGCAAAGGTCTGTAACTAGTTTACACCCTGGGTCCCATTGCCTCTGAGGAGACGGGTGAACCCTGGCCTGATGGAATTCAGCTGGACCCACAGAGCCCCTGGGCTACCCAGCCTTTTCCAATCCACTGGGTGGAAACCATATTGGAGGGACACTGTCTTCTCTGTCTAATTTCCTTTTGCTTCTCTGGCTAATGGGAGATATTCTGAAACAGCCCTGGAGGGGAGAAGATGCCTGTCTTTTGCTTTTGCAAGAATCCTGGCAGGGAAGGGGGGTGTCATAATATGCCAATGCCTTAGGCATCTTGGCCCTGAGGGCACAGGGCACCATGTCCCTCTGTGTCTCAGCTAGGTCCCACAAAGAGGATTTGCCAAACCCGCCAGAGTGGGGGGGTGGTAGGGGGGTGGTAAAGAGAACTGGAAGGCGCTTCTCCATTGTTCTAGCCGTGGGAACATATGTCAGGAATATTGCCAAAGGGCTCCTGGCACTGCTTCCCATCCTGTATTAAGTAGGGAACAGTCGTAGCTGCTGGTTCAGCCTGAGGGTGACCAGGGAAGGGTGGACATGGTCCCCCTCTGCAGGGTCTCAGCTCAATGGGCCTTCAAAGACCTGAGTGGGTGGGAGGTGAACTGAACAGACGATTTAAAAAATAAGGGCATATAGGTTATTTTTTAATTCTGCATATTTATGGGACACCATGTGATAATCCAATACATGTCCACAGTATGTAATGATCAAATAAGAATGGTTAACTTTCCATTTCCTTAAACATTTGTAACTATTTTCGATTGACACAAAATAATTGTACATTTATGGGGCTCGCTGTATACATTCAATACATGCCAACAATATGCGCTGATTAGATCAGGACAATCGGCATCTCCATCTCCTCATCACCAGTTTTGTTTTTGGAGGTGGATGTCTTGAGCTCCTCTCTTGTCGCTATTTACAATGCCTATAACAGTTTATGGTGAACTCCAGTCCCTGCGCTGTTGTACAGAACTTATTTCTAGGTTTGGGTATTGGACAGTAGATCGGTTCTTTAGTTTCGAAATGCTTAGAGATGGTGGTAAAAAGGATCCGAAGTTGAAATGCAGCATCCTGTAGTTCTCCTTCGAGATCCAGGAAGCTTCAGATGGCCTCAGCCAGGGCGAGTTACTTTTCAGGTAAAGCCAGTCCCCAGACACAGTTGGACAGGCAGCGCAGCCTCAGGCAGGCGGATGGGTGTGGCCCAGAGAGGTCTGGAACAGTTAATGGCAGAGAAGACAGTTTTCACATGGGTCTGGATCAATCTGCTTCTTTCCTGTCCATCAAAATGCCCTTTCCTGATATTATGGCAAAGAAAGAGACCCGTGCACTGGGCTTTAGGTAAAAAGGAGCAAAGGAAGTGGTTAAGAATTTGTCACGACCCAATCCAGTCCCCTCTGCTGTCTGTTCACCATGGGCCCTGCGGTGTGGTAGGGATGGAGGTGCAGGGGTAGGTGATCCCAAAGACACAGTCCAGGCTCTCCAGTGCCCAGGGTCAGTAGGGCAGGACAGGCTTCTTTCAAAGTAGTCCTTACACAGGTCAGACTCTGCAAGTGCTCCAGGAAAGGTAGGAACAAGACAGAAAGACAAGAGGAAGTGTTCTGACCAGGGGTGGACAGCGAGGGGAGGAAGAGCCACAGAAGGTGGTGACCGAGGGAGTAGACGGGCCTGGAAGGAAATGCAGTTAAATGACTCAGCCATCAGAGGAGAAGATTGGATTTTTTTCTTGCTCTGTCTCTCTTTGGTTAATATTTATTGAGTCCTTCCTGGGCACTGTGGAAACCCCCTGATCACAGGAATGTGCAGTCTGGTACAGACATTGTTTATATTGCTTAAAATACAAAACTGATGCTTTTCAGAGATGCCAAAGGTTGAGACCGTTCACCTATCAAAGCATTTTTCTGCATCTGCAGTTCTGTGTAAGCCATGATGAAGAAAAGTCCTCCATGGGCTCTTATTTCAGATATTTTAAGACCTGCATTTCTGTCAATTTGAGTAAGTTATACACTCAGCTCATTTTGAGTCTGTGCTTTTAGAATTGACTTGGTTGGTGCTTTGCATTGTTAGGATCAACAAAACTCCTCCAAAAAGCTGTAGCGAAAGGCAGAGAT